ACAAGGAGGTTGATAACTAATTTAGAACATAATTAAATGAAAGTAAATGCACGAAAACATAACGAAAGTATTTTCATTGAATTTAAATGAATAAATAAGTCGTACAAGGAGTTCTAGCTTGACCCTCTTCTCTCTCGAGAGTGAGGGGAGTTGAAACTCGCTAAAGAACTTTAAAATAACAGAATGAACGAAGAACGGAAGTAAGAACTTGAATTAAAAGCAATACGAAAGGTAAAAGTGTGAAAAACAAAGAAATGAATAACTAGAACATAAACATAAACCCTAAAAACGTGTTCTACAACTAGAAAGCATCTAAAAGAAGATGAAATGAAGCTTGGAAGGGATGATTTGTTGAGGGATGGATGAGCTTCCTTTTATAGCACCATAGGTTGGTTGAAACTCCCCTCCATTTTAGGTGGAAAAGGGTTGAGATTCACCTAACCACCTCACTTGGACTTGGACTAACGGTTTTGAACATGTGGGAAATGTCCTCCTTGCCCTTCATTAATCAAAACGTGCGTTTTGACAAATTGCCTCCAAAAATGCGCCGGGCGCAATTCTGCAAAAACATAATTATGTTATTTTCTTCCAACTTTGACCGCATTTATCTTATATTTTCCTAAAGTACCATAGTTTGACTTTTATGTAGAAATAATCTATGTATGTTCTACTTTAAGAATATGTGGTCCTTTTTGGCAAATAATAATAGGAAATGGGTCAAACAAGTGGTCAAACAGGGCTACCGACACATGTTTCTGCAGTAAAAAGCTAACCCTAACAATCAGAGTTAGAGTCATAAGCCAATAATCTTTTGTAATAGAGAATTGATTGATAATTCCAAAGGTAGCTACAAATAAAGACAAAACAACAACATACAACAGCTTGTTCATAAAAGCGGTCAACGTAGATAAAGTAGATCACCATCCTCCTACTCGTCGTCATTATCATTCATGTCGTCGGGGGCATCACGTTCGACATGAAAGCGCTCCTGGAGAAAGGAATAATCAATGTTGGGATGCTCAATGGAAACTTGACGAAGAGACCAAGAGACGCCACACTCCATGGCAGCATTCTGCAGATCATGACTACATAAAATACAACATCTCCAAGGAAAGACCCGTCAATACTCTCTCCTGGATTCGGAAGATGAAGGCTAACCGAATCAGGAATGCGGTATGTCGAACTCAAACAACGTAAGTCCCTCGCCGTAAGAGTGGAATTATCTACCCAAGAGGGGCGGTAAGGTCGAGACCCAGAAGAGGGGTTCGACGACGACCCGTCATCCGAAGAGGTCCATTCGAAATTAAGATCAGATGCCATGGTGGTAAGGAAACACAACAAAAACAAAGTAAAAAGAAATATACCTTAGTTGAAGGGATGATCGACATTGGAGGAGTTGAAGGGGGTTTAAATAGCCTTCAACATAGGAGCATAGCTCTCGGCATGATGGTCTTTGCCCATCGGTCCGAGGCCTGCTCAGCTCGGTACCCGAGGAACCCGTGATCTTCTCGGTCACGAGTCCTACAGTGAGGGGACAATTCAACCTGTGATCCTCTCGGGTCTCACGATGATGGGACAACTCGACTGGCTTGAACTAAAGGACTTAGATCATGAGACCAAGGCGTGCCCGGCTCGGTACCTGTGGAGCTCGTGACCTCCTCGGTCACGGACCTGGCATAACGTGGCAAGTCACGACAACTGTAGGGGCACGACAGTCGAGAAGGTCCTTCCTTTATGTCATTTAGTAAAATTAAAAGGATCTTACTACCCCCCGATAAAGCTCCTTATTCGCGCACTCCAACACTCCTATCAACATACTACCAAGGAGATTGAGACAAAATCAAAAGCATCGCCTTTGGAGTAGGGGCAATTGTTATACAGAATAAAAACGACAAAGCAACGGATCAACCAAGTGGAAGAATACCAGAAAGGCCACCAGAAGAACCAGACCGAGCCGACCACAGCTCGGTCTCGACCCAGGCTCGGCCCATTGCCAAGCCCGGTAATCGCCCTCTTTTCTGATCTCCATGCACCTTGGGCTTCGCAGCAACTAACTAGGGCTTCTTTAGATGGGTCTGGAACCTTCCAAACCACTATAAATAGGCCATCTAGCCTAACCTTAAGGTAAGCCGAGTTCTACGCTTGAATTCCATTACTCAACTACTTCCTTAGCTGAATTAGACATCGGAGCCCGTGTGACAAGAGTTACACTGGTCTAGTCTTGTTCGGTTTTGCAGGTCTTCGATTCCCTGATAATCAAATTTGGTGCGAATCTCGGAAGGAACCGAGAGAGCATAATCCACGCATTAACATATATCTACACTCATAATTTTTTTTTTCTTTTGATCTACTTTTAAAGTACAATTTAAAAAATCAAACTAAATTTTGAAAACCAAAATTTTATCTTATTTTTAAAATTTGATTAAAATTTCCAAATGCCTAATTTATAAAATTATAAACAAAATCGTGATTCAGCCGCATTTTAAAGATGGTAATATCTGCTTAGGAATATCTGCTTGGTATCACAGGGGAACCTATCATCTCTGATCCAATAGAATTGGATTACTTTTTAATTATTTATATTATATTCTTTATTTTCTTAATCTTGGCCGGGTATTGTCCTCGTTTAAATGTGAATACCGTTAAACCTCTCAATGAAAATATCTTATGGAAATGTGGTAAAACATCGAAACAAAATCGCGTGCACATAAATGAAAATTATATGGATTGGTAAATTAAAGTTTAACGTTACTTTATTATGTTTTATTTTCTAATCCAATCTAATCTTTAGTTAAATAATTGAATAGGTATGCGAAATATAAATATATATATAAAGGATGAAAATTTTTTTTTTTTTTGAAATGGAATGAAATAATTAAAAAAAATAGATTGTTTAAATTTTAAAGGTTTAATAATAGTTAGTTAAATTTGTTTTCTTTTTATTTGTTTGTTTTAACATTTAATTTAAAGTTTGGTTTTCTTTTAAATAGATTTTTTTTCATAATCCATATCTTTTAAGATTTTGTTAGATTTTTTATAGTTAAGTTAAATTTAAATTTTGTTTTTTAAATCGATTTTTTATAATCTATTTCTTTAATGTTTCCTTAGATTTTTTATAGTTAAATTTAATTTAAAGGTTTTTTTTTCTTTTTGTTAAAAATATATTTCTTGGTTTCCTTCGTCTTCTAATCCGAAGACTCCCCTTCTCCATTGCCAACTAGAAGAAGCTCTTCTCTTCTTTGTCTTCTTCTTTAGTTTGTCGGAGTAATTAAGATGAAGCTCACTCCACGTCGAAGGTTTTTGTTGTAGAAAACGGCGTTGATTGAAGTTTGTACGCCATTTGGAGACAATAGATTTTGGTAGGTGAGACAATAGATTTTTCCTCAATCTCGAACATAAAATGAAGATCTCTAAGTGAATCGCGACGGCAACAAGTTTATCAACAATTTCCTTGATTCAACTAATATATTTCTCAAGAGAATGTTCGTATGAGATGTGGAAGAATACCGATTTTCTAGAGATAACTTAGAAATATTATAAGTAAAAAGTGACAGTTTTTCTAAGGTTTAAAAGGCAAAACCTAAAGCTATGAATAATGGATGAGAGAGAGAGATGAGGATTATAATTTGTATGGTTCACATATAACTACTGCCCTACCACCTTTTCATCATTGTCATGATAGTGATGACTTATGATAGAGATATAGACATATATTTTTTTATATATATGGAAGGTGAAGTTTAATTTTTGAGCTCGATGTAATGTACATAGTTTATCGCAATATTTTATCAGAGACGATCTGATCCATCGTATCAATCTTGTTCATATTTGAGATATCAATATTAAGGTTATGAGAAAAAGATTTAAATCTCTGAATTCTTCAACTTTCACTCTCACTTATTAATTCACTTTTGTTCGACTCTAAAATAGAAAATTGGATATGACATATGCCTAATGAATTATGAATTGATGTATATAAAAGATCATGTTCAAAATAAACTTCGAAAATTTCCAACTTGCAATGAAAGATGGGGTTATGCTAGAACTCTCCCACGTTGAAACTCTTAGGATCAAAACATAAAAGATTAAAAAAAGAGAGAGAAAATTTGAGGTTTTCATAGGCATTAAATTGTGGGCAAAATTGGGTCATAAGTGAATAGAATAGGCTTCTTTTTCAAAGCTCCTCTAGAAGGGCAATTACCAAACCCCACTTTTTGGTTATGGATTGAGGAGAATGAATAAAGTGTCTTAAACGATGATCTATGCCCATGTTGACTTCAATTTGGTCATATTAATTAATAAATAATATCTCAATTTTGAAAAATAGGATAGAGAATTGCAAAAAAAAGTGGGATTCTTTAGCTCTAATTAGCTTGAGTGGCTATGAAGTCGAGATCAGAGAATTTAAGTTTGCATAATTTGTATTTGGATTGAATGAAGCATCCAATAGATTTATGAAAATTTGAATTTGTGTAATATTTCTTCAATGGGTAGGTTTATAATTCGTAAAAGTTAATATGAAATACTAAAGGCATTTAAAATAAACTTGAGTTTATATCATATAGATTTATTGAAAAGTCAATCTGCAATAAGTCAATCATCTACGGAATATAAATTCAACTTCTTAAATTTGAACTATATAGGTTTTGTTGATCAAAACAACAAATTCAATACATTCTTTTAATTAAAGTCAGATATTAGACTAGATCGAAATCTTAAAATTAACACACTAATCTAAACATTATTTAATTAGCATACTTACTGATGTAGACTTCATAGAATATAATGCACTTCTTTGTAAAAAGGTGGTTGAACATTTAAGTTATATATACGTTGAAAAAAGCATCATCTAACACAAGCAAATATAGAGCCTAAATTAAATATAAAAGTGGGAAAATCTTGGAGCCATTTTTCCTCTTTGTTTTGTTGAATCTTCTTCTCTTTGCTTCTTTCAATGTCCCTTCCTTTTTCTTTTTCTTGCATACACTTTCTTCTCACTCTTTTATTCTTTGAGATGAAAGAAATTTAAAATGAAAAGTATAGAGAGATTACATACCCAAAAGGTATTTGTGAAATTACATTATTGCCCACATAGTATGACTTACTTACAACCTGCCACAAGATGGGAATTTTCAAGAAAAATAAAAGAATGTACACATATAAATATAATTGGACAAATTATACATCCATATATAGTTGCTATCCAATTTTTCTCATGATGTTTAAAAATTTCCATTCTACCTTCAGTCTTGTAATTTGTCTAAAAAATAATAATCTTTTAGCCATTTTCGTTAAAATACTTTTGAAAAAAACTTTCACTCATAAATTCCTAGGTGGTCCAGTAGCATATAGACAAGTGGATCACAGGAACTATACAAAATTAAAAAATCAACTTGTTTATATGCTACTGGATCAGGACCACATATGAATTCAGGAGAAGCTTCCTCTTGAATCTTCAGTAGGGAATTTTGTCCAATACCTTTTTAATGTTTTAGAACTAGGGGTATATGTATATATATTTTTTGTAATTTATATGATTTCAATTTTGACCTTAAAATTTTAAAAATTTTAACTATGGCATAAATTGCTAAATGAAAGTTTTCTTTAACGGAAATTAAGAGGTTGAGGATAGTATTGGAACTTTTAACCATTTTTATCTAGTGAACCTCTCAATTAGATTCTAATCCAAATCAAGTTCTAACTATTTATGAGAGAAACACATGTGGTAGGATTTTCAAGAAATTCTTTGATTTCTTCAAGGTGGTCTTGGATATATATTTTAATTAGTTAAATCTAATTTTAGAGCAGCAGCGAAATTAAAACTAACTATAGAAAAAAAAATAGAAAATAGAAAGGGTAAAATGGGTACCTTTTCTTTTTTCACACTTTTTGTTGAGGAAAGTGATGAATAGGATGATCAAGGCAACCGCTGCAATAAGTCCAATAATTATTGCTAATGTCTTGTTGGTCTCATCGTCATTGTTCTTTGTATCTTCTGCCAAAATATTACTCCAACTAATCACTTTTTTTTTAATAATTGAAAACTCTTTTTCACTATTTTTAACTTTATTTTTAATAATTGCAAGGAAGAATAATTTCATTTGTTCCATAAAAATAGGCAATGATGTCAGAATATACCATAAATAAAAAGTAGCTGTCCAAATATATTCTTTACTATTTTTCCTCGTTAAATTACCAATTTAGTCTAAAAAATTTTAATTATTTTTTTGTCTTTTTAAAAAAGGTCTAATATGTCTATAATATTTCAGTTAGTCATTGACCTTTAATTTTAAAATATTTCGAAGAGACTATAGACATATTATATACAAAATTGAAAGTTCGTCTAGGACATATTAGATATAAAATTCAAAATTTAAAAATCTATTAAACATTTTCTACAATTCAAGAACATATTAGACGTCAAACTCTATTCCACTCGTACGCCATTGCTTCCCCTTTGATTCCTTTGGGGCTCATGAATTAAACTTGTAATTTAACTTTTTTTTTAAGGTTTATCTCAGAAATATCATGTTAAAAAATTAAAAACGTTTTTTTTTATTTGAAATAGAAAATTGAAAATGTATTTCATTATTTTCATGTGTTATCTTTCTATTGAATTTTTTGTTCATGTATATTAAATAGTCAATCTGAGCATAGCTTAACTGGTTAATACATATATGTTCGATTAAAAAATTATGGGTTTAAATTCAAAAATAAAATTACTTTTTAAATTGTAATTTAATTTTAGTCTATAAACATTTAAAAATAAAATACACCCAATCAGGCTTTTAATAGCACCCAATCAGGCTTTTAATAGCTTTGAAACATAATTGAAGTGAGGAATGGGTTGGAAGACAAAATATATGAAGGTCATAATTGAATGTTCAAAGTCTTTTGATTTAAGGACACATGATCTTGTCTTGTTTCCATTTTCTACCAAAGACTAAGAAACGTCTTTTGGATGCAATTTTGGTCACTTATTAAGAGCTTAGCTATTGACTTTAAAAGACTTGGACAAAGGAAGTACAAATTTTGCTTACTTTAATTAAAATATGTCTCAATATTCATATATTTATGATGGTTGGTTCTTTCTTTCTCTTTTTTTTTTTTCTAAATTTGAACTTTTAGTATAATTTTGAAAAATATCCATTATTTCACTAAATTTTAAATTTTGTACTTATGTTTGTGAAATTTTTATTTATCACCGTGGATTGATCTAATAGTCATAGAGGAGGGAGAGGAGGAGTATGAAGCTATACATTTTATGGGTAACTTGAAACTTGAACCCAAGTAAAATTAACCAAGAAAGGGGGTGGTTGATAATTATTTAAGAAAATATGTTTTTATATATTTTTTTTCCTATTAGTTCAAAAACATTTTAACCTGGCTAAACCTAAAAGAAAATTAAAATAATTTTCAGCTACTTTTTTTACCATAAGTCTTTTTTTATTTTATAATAATTACTTTTATACATATTCCTAATTTCCCTGTCAACAATCCTTTAAAAAATCAATTATGCAGCCCTTCTCCACCAAATGAATCTTAAAATTAAAAAAATTATAATATAATAACAATATTTAGTCTCCTTTTGATTACCATTATTTAATATATATATACATACTCATAATTTTTTTTTTCTTTTAATCTACTTCTGGAGAACGGTTCAAGCTAAATTTTGAAAACCAAAAATTTATTTTATTTTTAAAATTTTATTAAAAATTCCAAAGGCCTAATTTATAAAATTGTAAAATTATAAACAAAAAATCGTGACTCAACCGGATTTTAGAGATGGTAATAAAATGATTAATAAAAGAAAATGGAGATCAAAATAATATTAAAAAAAGTGACTTACTATTTCCATTTCCATATCCATTTCCTCCATCTTGCGAGTAAGTCACACCTCTGGTGAAGCGCGTGTAGCATTTAGCCAAATACACGTCACCCCAAGCGGACGCCCCACAGGCCGATTTCAGCCGTCCGATGGCGTCAGTGATGCAATCCTGGCACTCGCTCACACTCAAATCCCCTATGCATTGCGCCGTACTTTGCACCTCTCCGGCCCCACCAACCCTGTAGGTCCCACCACCCGTCGCCAAATACGCCAGCGCGGCATCCAGCCGAGTCAACGCGCCCGAGTTGGACCCAATCGGCGGCCCGCATTTCCTCACCACCAGCGTCTTGTCCTCCGCCCCGAAGAAGCTCCGGTTATCGTACTTCACGAAGCACCCCTCCAGCTGTAACGCGCCGCCGCACGCATCGGTGCAGACCGTTCCGAGCCGGGAAACCGCGCCGGCAACGCACCGGGAGCAGTCGCCGGAGTTGAGGTCGCCACGGCATTGGTAGAGGCCGTAGATGGTGTCCTGAGGGGTGGAGCCGAGGACGGTGAAGTTGGCGTAGGCCGAGGACGCCGCCGTGCCGACGAGGCGGCCGAGGAGCAAGTTGAGATTGGAATCGAAGGGCGAGCCGGGAATGTATTTCTGCTGCGTACAGCCGCCGAAGACGAAGGTGTCTACGGAGGAAGTCGATGGAGGTGAGAGAATCGCGACGGCTCCGCAGAAAAAAATCACAAGCGATGAGAGAGAACGAATTCTTCCAGTCGCCGACATGTCGACTGAGAAGAGAGGGAATTTTGCAGAGAATTTACGTGGAGAAGACGATGATGGGAGGAGACTGCTACCTCTCGTAAAGCAAAAAGTTGAGTCTTACCTCACAAATATAAATAAATTGTTCCCTTTGGTTAAAATATTAAGCTCTTGCTTTGTGTCTGGTAAATTTGAAAATTAAATACTTGTTGAAAGTGTTTAGTTGTATATTATATTTATAAACCAGGGACACTTATCAACATATTTTTTAAAAATGTTGTATAATTATTATTTTGTAATATTATATACTTTATAATATATTATATTTTATCTTTTTTTAGTTTTAGCAAAAATAAAATGGATTTATAACGTGATATTATATATTTATCAAAAGTTTTTTTTTTATCTTTCTTAACGTAATTAAGCATTTTTAAAGTTTCAATTTCAAAATTTGCTTAACAGTAGACAAAATCTTGATAACATATCGGAGGCTCTTACTATTCTACGTGTTTTCATATTTGATTTATTTTGGTCTTGCATTTGTTTAATTTTTATTTTGATCTATGTATTTTCTATTTTGGTTCATCTTGGATTTATGTTAAAAATTTCAAAATATAGACTAAAATTATTTAGAAGAACATGGAATCAAAACAAAACCACATTGTAAACTGCAAAGGCTAATGTACTACCATTAGTATAAATAACGAAATGAAAAAACTAAAACTACATAAACCAAAATTGTATTTTAACATATTTTCAAAAAAAAATGGTATTTTAACGAGTTATAAATTTAAGTTTTTCGAATTTTGACTTTAGACCTAATACTTATTTTAAAAAAGAATTAAATATATATTTAATTTTTACAATTTTTAATTTATGTTTAATAATCTTTGTGGTTAATTCATGTAACATAATATGCTAATTAATTATTATTTAAGGACTTAAATATGACAACCGCTTATATTCAATCCAATCTTTAAAGATTTATTAAAAACTTTTTAAAATGGAAAGTTCAAATAGACAACTAGGGAAGTTAAAGACATTAAAAAATAGTTAAAATATATAAAGATTAAATAGACACTATTTTAAAAATGTAGTAAACAAACTTACCATCTAAACCTAAGTATTATTATAACATAAGTTTTCGTAAAAATGCAAAAAAAAAAAAAAGGATTTTTTTCTGATACAAAAATCCAATCCACACACTTACCAACTAAATATTAATATAATGTTTACTTTACATTTCATTGAAGTCATTGATTATTTTGCGTACTATATTATATATAAATAATCAATATATTAATGTACATATATACACATGTAGACATGTTAAAAGGATAATGATGCTCAACTTTTTCAAAAAATAAGAAAAGGATAATGATGATCAACCCAACTTATATGTACACTATTAAATTCCAAATACTTGTGTGAATGTGACCAACTTGAATTAAACCAATTATTAATGTGGTATAAAATTTCAAACGTCCTCATTATAGTTTATTTATTTATTTACTTTATAGAATATGAAACCATAAATATAATCGATGAAGTAGAAATTGAGAATTGCGGTGATTTAATTAGGAAGAACATAGATATTTAACTTTTTTTTGTGTCGGGATATATCTCTTAATTAGTTGAGTTAGGCTTAATTAGTGATATATTTTAACCGCTAATATTTATAATCAAAGTAATTATTTATAATTGGTAAAAATTTAATTGCCTATCATGAGTTGGAAGTTTTTTTTTCTTTTGAATGATAATTAAAACATTACAGGGGTAAAAGGGTCAAGTTTTTTTTTCTTTTGAATGATAATTAAAACATTACAGCAGAAAGTGGAAGGAAAAAGTTTTGGTTGTAGAATTAACTCTATTATTGAAAAAGAAATGACATAGCTCTTTTACCTCATATGGCCACATCTATCATAATCTTATTAGTCTATTTTACTAAATTGTTTTCATTAATATAATAAAAAGAATATAAAAATTTAAAAGTTTTGAAATACTCGTCCAAGTAGGATAAGATACTAATTATCTCATTTGAAGTGGAAAGTAGATTCAAATCTCTTCTCCTATATTTCTATTTATTTAAAAAGAAAAAGTAAGGGTGTAGTAATAAAATTTAAGGGGAAAGAAACCAAGTATCCTAAATTTAAACACCACATTTATAATACTAGTGTATCACCACGTGCAATGCACCTATAAATTTTTTTTAATTATAAGGTAACTTAAATTTTATATAATTTCACGTAAAATATTTTAAGTATAATTATTTTAAAAAATAATTAAGATTAATTTTTATATATATTTATTATTATTGACAACTAATTACTAATAATAAAATGTACTATTTATAATTATTTTTAAAATATACTATTATAGTTAATTGTTAATGATATATTTTGTAAATAAATGAATTAAAAGTAAAGGAAAAATTATATATTAATAAAAAAGTAAATAGGTATTTTAATATTTTTATTTTTAAATTATTTCAACCTAATATGGGTCCTTTATTTTATTTTTTTAATATTTTATTTGTTTATTAAATATTTGTTTAGGGCTGACGTTTTGTTGTATATGTTGAATTTTTTAACTAAAACTAAATTATTTTATTGATTTAATTTTATATTATAATTAAAATTATTAAAGAAAAATTCTTCAAATTATATTATTAGAAAATAAAATGACCAAAAGTTTTATATTCCACCTTTTACGATTCTATACAAATTATTGTTTATAATTAATTTATTAATTAAACATTTTTTTATATACTGACTTCTATGATTGTTTTTTTTTTCAACAATAAGAACATGAGCTTATAATTATCTATATTTTAAACAAATATTCTAAATAAAATTGCTAAAAAAAATACACTAAACAATAAAAAACATTAGTAACAAAAAAAAAGTCCAAATCCTAAACTAAATAAAATTGCTAAAAGAAGAAACATTCCAAATAAAAAACACACTAATTAGAAAAATAACAATAGTAACAAAAAAAATCCAAGTACTCACTGTACACTCATCTTTTAGAGTAAATATGTTCATTCTTGAAGATTGCTTGACAGATACTATTATTCAACTTTGTAAAATTGTGGAATGGTAATGTTACAAACCTAGTATTCGAGATATGTAGATTCAACATATGCCTCTCTTGCAACTTGATGAATATGTCACAAATATCTCAAGATGTTTTCAAGATTCAATCATCTTTGAGAGATGTTTCAAGGAACTAAGAATAAAAAAGTATTGAAACTTGTGAAAAACATGTAGAAGAAAACCTATTTTTATAGTAGTAGATGATAAAACGTTACAAAAGCTTTTCAAATTCTAAAACTCTTTGAAATTCTAGTATGAATTTTAATTAAAGAAAAAATTAATCTTATGTTGTTGGAAAACTTTTTGCATTCTAACCTTTTATATTCCATGCATTTATAGTATTGATCATTAATAATTAATAATTAATTTAATATTTGTAATAATATATTAATGGCATAATTTGTAAATTTGTAAATTTAGTAAAGGGTAAAAGTGTCCAAAAATGTTTTTCCTTACATCCTACCTTTTTAATATAGCATAGATATAGATAATATATTATAATGTGATTTAAATAAAATATGGAGAAGAAATTAATTAATTGTTTTTTAGGGCTTTGGAGGTTTGTACGCAAAATGGGGTTTGGGTGGGTTGAAAATGGGACAAATTATAAACTCCAAATTTGATAACTTTTTAAGGGACAGTTAGTTAATTGGTCACAAACCTTAATAATTGTAATCACGCTCTTAATGGAACCAATCTCTCTCCCTTGATTTTAAATTAATTATTTTAGATTTTTTTAAAGCAAATAGAACATGAAGAGAAGCTAGAGTTTTATTGAATAAAATTACATAATATAATAGATACATAATTTAATAACCTATTTTATATGCTAATTTTAACATCTGTCCTACCAAAATATTATAAGTTCAAGTCCTTGTACTAGTGTAATTGGGTTGGACACATTTTAACCATACAAAGAATTAGAGTCACCTAAAAAAAAAACATAATATATTGAAAGAACAATTAAAATAATAATTAGCAAATATATATATATTTGTGTTATGGGTGAAACTTCCACAGGACACGCGTCCGCTCTTCTATAGGTTGGGGACCACTGACCATCACCTTCCTAAAGAGTTGTCGAACAGGACACATGTCCGCTCTAGAGGGAACGGAGAACCACAGGCGGTTGCGCTCCGTACATAGTTGTAGCTTGGAACACATGCTGACGATGGGCACATTCTGATGGAAGCGTACTCCCACCTGACCGAACGTACAGCACGTTGCATCCTTGCCATCTCTAACCGTCGTCCTTCTTGGTCGGACCTTGAAGCTATAAAAGGAGGGACCTTCATCTTCACCAAGCAATTGAAAAACCTGTCACTAATACGTCTGGTGTCTTATTCCTATTGCTATTCTGATTATTAACTTGATTGTTGGAGTGTTTTAGGCAGGACACCGCACCGTCATCGAGTTCTTTGATTTCAGGTCCCACGAGTTTCAAGTTGAACGGCTTGTCCGCATACCATGCCGTTCTCTACCAAAATTCGCCGTCAACAATGCGTGGGTGTATATATATATATATAGAAATAAGTTGTAGAACATTTTTGAAGCATTGCAAGCGAAAGTCAATGGAAATTAATTGAAGAAGGTTTTTGACCGTCAAATTAGCTTTGAGCTCAACTATAAAGAAACTTATTGAGAGTAGCGTTACAATTACAATATAGGTACCATTTGACTTAATAACTTAACACGTGTCAGAATTTGGGTAATTTGGTCTAAATGTAGTGATTTTAAGTTTAAATCTTCACCCATGGTTTAAACTATAATATATCAATATTAATAAATACATGCATATACGATTTTTGTAATTGAAATATATGAATGAATCATAACACCATAGCAAAATGAAAAAATAGTATGAGATATAATGCAAGAAAAATTTTTTTTCCCGACTGCAACAGATGTGGGATCAGGGGTTGGGAGTTTGATTCTCCGACCTTGAAGAAGCAAGATGTTAACCACTAAACTATGCTCATGCGATAATTATAATACAAGTACTTAGTATAGTTCAAAGAAAAAAAAAAACCTTAAAATAATTAATAGTTACTAACTATATCAATAAGCTAAGGTGTCAATCTGAGCATAATTCAATTGGTTAAGGTAACTATCTCCGATCAAAAGATCGTAAGTTCGAATCCCCACCCCCACATGTTATATTAAAAAAAAAAGAAAAAATAAAAAGACAATACACCAATAAGGTATAACTTTCACCAAGGTAGTTCATTTAGTAGTTAAATGTGTTTGACCTAGAACGTTTCTAATAATTTTCACTTTATATAGTTTAGATACTATTTTCGTCCTTACATTTTTTCGCTTTAGTCCATTTTGGTTATTGTACTTCCAAAATGTTCTTTTAACTTTTGTACTTTCAAAACATTCGTTATAGTCCATCTACTTTCTACTTTTGTTCATTTTTTGTTCTTATACTTTCAAAACATCTGTTTTGATTTCTATACTCTTAAAAAAATACCAATTTAGTTCTTATTTGTAAAATATTTAACACAAATTTTATGCTAAGTGGGAAACCTTTTAATAGAAATTTATGGGCACATTCTAGAAGTTTAGTATAATAGAATTTTATACTAAAATTATAATCAAAATAAATGAGATCAAATAAAAATGAAAGGACCAAAATAGTAATTTAAACAAAATATATAAAGACCAAAATAGACGGTTCAAATTATAGAGACTAAAAAGAACAAAAATTGAAAGTACAAAAACCAAAATGAATTTTTTAAAAGTGTGTGGATCAAAATGAACCAAAATCGAAAAAATAAGAACTAAAATAGTATTTAAATTTTTTTTTTCTTACTTACTCTCTCATGCATTTAAGGATTATAAAAGGGATAGCCATAATTTTTCCACCCACAAGGTTGTTGTTTGGGAATATTTCTCAAATTTATTGGTAAAAAATTATTTGTTATCTAACTAATTTGGCACTAATTGGGAGCACCCACTTTTCCTTTTCTTTTTCCTTTTCCTTTTCCTTTTGTTGGAAAATAAATTAAGAAAGTTCCCTTTTCTAAACTTATTAAGAAATTTGCTTTATATGACAATATTCGAGGGAGAGATCATGAGAGAAAAAGGAATTTGATTTTTTTAGAATTTACCCAAAGGTTGAGTTTTAATTTCTTATATATTTATTTTAGAGATGGAATAATTATTTGAAGATTTTCCTAATAAAAAAAAAATCTTATAACAATTGTAATTTTTTTTAAGAAGAAATTTCTATTTTATTCTCTGTCAGCATGGGGCATGGGCCTTTTAATCTATATCTTATTTTGGTGATGCTTGGAAAATCATGGCCACCTTCACCTGCCTCCATTTACTATGTCTTAAATCTAAATAATATGTTCAAATTTTTTGGACTCGCTTTTTCAAAGGCTTTTTATACAATAAAGGCTCGAACGAGGAGATTCGAACTTCCAAAACATTAGAGAACTGGATAATATTTTGATGATTCGGTGTTCGGTGTTCCAAAACCATTTTTTAAAAACTTTTCTCTTTGTAATAATAAAAATGGGTGCAATTCAAAATATCACAAATTAGAAGAATTAGAAAAATGGATCAAATCAGTGCAAGTCGAAATTGAAATGACAAAATAATAATAATAATAGATACGAACTCACTCGTTCGAATTATCTTTATATTCAATTCGGTTTTCTTTAGTATAAAATTGGAATGGAACTCAGTGAAATTCTATATCCATACGTATCAATTAATTTGGGCGACCCTAATGGACTAGAATGGTCCGAACGAATATGTTACACTCTATAAACAAAACAACAATTCAATAAAAATACGTTTTTGTGAACGGTTCTTTAGGTAGAAATTGTTCTTAATATCCAAAATTCAAAAGTAATCATTTTAAATGCATCTAATAATGTTACTCTTTAATTATAATTTACCTACCATTTTTAAGAATTTAATTTCGAGTTTATTATTTAAATTTGGAAGACAAGCTAGATATATAAAAATAATTTACTATAATCGATTCTATATATAATTTTAAATTCGGTGACGTGATTTGGAAATTATTAAACATTTGAATTTTTTTTTTAATTTGATGTGACATGAATAGTGGATTTTTTTAATAGTTATTTCTTTCAACTTTTTTAGTATTGTATTATCAGTGAGAAGATTCAATAAGAAACCATATTTATTTAAAGAAAAATATTGCTGACTAACTTCACATTTGTAAGCCGATTTTAGTCCTTTCTAAGTATTTATAATACTTAGTGATATTAATTATTAGTGGGGTTGAAATTTATTGGTTTAAGAACAAGTCAACTTAAAATTGGATATAATTAAAACTATATGCCATCTCAAGTGGTAATTTCCAAAACATTACGGAAAAGAAATTTTGACCATTTTTTTGTCTATAATAATTGAGAATTCAAATATGGAAGGCTTGAATTCAAAATTTTATTATTGCTACATGCTCTATTTGACAAGTATAAAAATAAACTCATCTTTCAAATAAAATATGATATTCCCACTCGCACAAATATGAAGGTCAATATTAATTTACTTTCTTCACAACAAAGTAAACTATAATTATTCACCAAGATAATGACATCTTAAATTGTTGCGCTAAAAAGAAAAAGAAACAAAATTATTACTTTTTATTTGATTACTTTCTAACTTTGCTTTTTTAGTTTTGGTATATTCAAAACCTTTATTTTAATTTGTGTATTATTTTTTTTGTTTATTTTAATTATTGTACTTTTAAAATGTTCCTTATCGTCTCTATACTTTTAGAAGTGACTGATGTAGTCCTTATTTGTAAAATTTTAACAAAAATTTATACACATTCGAAACTCTTTAATACATATTTATAACTACATTTCAATAAATTAAATAAAGTATCAGGGGAAGAAATAAGATAAAAGTGAAAATATAAGAAACTAAAATAATCACTTTTTTAAAGTACAGAGATAACAGGAATCAAAATAAACCTAAATGGAAAACATAGCGACAAAAATAGTATTTTAACTTATTTTCTTTTTCAACTGTCACATGGAAGATTATCTCACTCATTTATTCAAACTCTTTTTATCCCGAGGAGAAACAGATGAGGTAATCATAATTTGAACATCTACATCAACCAAATTTATCTTAAAAAAAAAAAAAGTCAATTTAAATTTACCAAAATTGGGACAAGTCCTGTCAACAATTGATGAACTTCATTATTATTATTATTTTCAAAAAATGTTACATTAAAGTCATGAGGGTTTGTCATTGGTTTGGTGAGTGAGACCAGAAATTGAGAAAGGACCAAAAACATATGTCATTTTGTGAAGATAAGATTTCTATGTTTTAAAAATCAATGTAATAAATTTTTGTGTATAAATGGATGATATTGTGGGATGCCCAAATCTATTTATAGACCCCATGTGACATGGTTATGTATGATCGTCTAAAAAGAACATCCAATTTTCTTTTTTAATTTTTTTAAATTTAAAAATGTATATGGTTTTTTGCAATAATTTCATTTTTATTACATGAATTTTAACTATAGTTTATATTTTTAATATAATTTTGTTCGGTTCTTATCTCCCATTTTAATACGTTTATTTTAGTCCATATAGTTGCAATTTTGTTCATTTTTGTCCTCGTATTTTCAAAATGTCTGATTTAATCCTTTACTTTTTAAAAGTGACTAATATTCTGAACACAATTTTTATATAAAATAGAAACTATTTAATACAAAATTATGGTTAATTTTCAAGAATTTTAATGAATAATTGTGATATTAAAATTATGATAGAAAAGACGAGACAAATGGTCCACTTTCAAAAGTGTAGGAACCTAGATGAAAGTTTCAAAAAGTACCCGACTCAAATGAATTTACACTGAAAGTACGAAAATCAAAATAGTATTTAATTTCTTTTTTTCTCATTGAACATGGGTGGTGGATTTTTGAAAGGTTTCTAAAAATGGAGAGATTTTTTTGCCATATCAACTTTATGAAAACATAAACAAAAGATGACACGAGACCAATTTGTGAACATTATATAAACGAGGGAGAAATATAGATTGCAAAGTTTAAATTCATAGTCTTTAACCTCAATTGTACCATCATCATACCATATTAAATCATTATTTTTAAGTTAATAGTGAGAAAAGCTTTAAATTCATTCTATTTTTACTCCTAAATCTCTAAAATGTTCATTTCAGTCTCTAAACTTTTAGTTTTTTTTTTTTTGAGTACCTATGAACTTTTAGCTTATTATATATTGATCCATTAATTTGAGCCTAAAAACAAATATATATATATATATATATATATATTTATTTATTTATTTAATGGTCCATAAATTTCTAAATGTCTACTTTAGGCCTTTACTCCTAAAAAATAACCGACAAAAGTGAAACAAATTTAAAAATTCAAGAAATAAAAAAGATTTAAACTTTAAATTATATAACCATTTCTAAACCTTCTTACTAATTTAATTATGAACTTTACATTAAAAAAAAAAACTATTTTAATCCCTGTTATACTTTTAACAAATTTTATCATCAAATACACTTTTTCTTCATTCACCTGATAAAGGACCTCTATTTGGATGAACGATCAAATTTCCAAATGAAATTGAACTATTGTTAAATGGATATTTAGGAGCTGACCATAAGAGAGAAAAATGCAGATTGTTCGTAGGCTTAGAATGGAAAATTTAGAAAAAAATGAAAACAAATCATTTGAAAATTGAAGGGCCAAGGAGAAAAAAAGGATCTAAATATCAATGAATTGCATGTCCATGCAACAAACTAAGATGTCATTTCAATAATGGCAGAAATAGAATAAAGCTAGAAAGTTCTCATTTTTGTTCACAACTGTCAATCAAAAGTAGAGAGATTGCATAAAGAAAGGGTTAGTGGGGAACAGAATCTACACAGATTTTGGTAGATTTCTATCAACATAACTTGCATTTGTCTCATCACTTTTATCTCTTTTGCTCATCTTTCAGAACAGCTGAAAGCAAACCCATCTTATCAATGAGCTGTTCATAGGGAAGGCCTAAGGCAAGTAGCATAGGAGAAAATTGATATTCTAATGGATCACAACTCAACTTCATTCAAATGCGTCGAGACATGAGCATGTTGCTTGAATAGTAACATCAAATGTCTCTGTTTATTTACAATATCATATTTCGCCCCCTTTTTCTTTTCTTTTTATATCTTAAAGAATACAACATTTCAACACTTGCCCCTTTTGGTCTATTCGTCCATCTTCGTTACCTGCAGACGCAATGTTCCCGAAACTTTAATTTATAGCCCCTTATCTATGTGGCAAATGATGAATGGAAGTGATGAAAACTATAGAACCAAAGAAATCACAGGAAAAGCATTTGTTTTATATCCGTGAGTGTTTTGGCCAGTTTGCACGCACCTTGACTAATCTCTCGGGACAATTTGGCGTTGGAAAACATATAAGAATTAATCACAGCAAAAGCAATTGAACAAAAGATTTTGCAAGTTTTGAGGCACGCTTTACTAGCACAAGCAACTAGCTACCAGAAAAGAAGGCAATGATTGCTGAGTGAGACCTCTGTAATAGCTTGGGATTTCAGCAAGGGGAGGAAAGATTTTCCTCAGGGGCATGGCTCAACAGAACAATTTTTTTTCTTCTTCAATTTACTTGAAAGGGACATGGTCTGAAATACTAGTTCAAGCCAGCCACTCACTCCAAAATAATGAGACCTCTAACAATAAGAAAGCTCACTGGATTGTTTCTCAGAGATACGACCACACGATGTCACCATTATAATGCTGGAGCTCTGTTAAGGACAGATCGTTGAAGAGATTATTAAAATTCTCCATGCTTCCAGTTATGGAACTACGGGAAGACATCTCATGAATCCACCTGATGGATGACAATGAGGTCATCCCTGATACACCAGCCACCCACTAGCAGCTTTATTAAATATTTTCGAGAGAATGTTTTATGGCATTTGATTTTTTAGGGGATCAACCTGGTAACGAAACTTTTATGTAGTTTACATCTAAAATTTCTTACATGGTCAGATGGATGACCGTGGATTAGGAGATAGTAGGGGTGCAAAAAAAACCAAAAAAAACTACTGAACTAAGCCAAACTGGATGGTTCAGTACAGTCTTATGAAGCATTTGATTTTTTCAATCTATTACAGCAATAAACCAACTGGGTTGGTTCAATTTTCAATTTCTATATTGAGGCATCCAGTTTTATGGTTTATTGCAGCAATAAACAACTGGTTTGGTTTGATGTAATTTTTTTAATATATATGGTATCAGGGCCCACCCCACTACTCAAAAAAAGACCGGATGCTATGCTCCCATGCGCCAGCTCAAGCAGAAGATAACAAAAGTACTTTCTCATTAAGCATTCCACCTAGAGGTTTAGAAATCCCGGATATTGAACTGAACTCCCACCCAGAGCTCCAAGCCTTTATCAGCAGAGCCCCCTAGGGCGAACAGTTTCTTATTTCACAAATTTGATAGGAAATAAATTAATTAAATAGGATTATTATGCATAAAATATTCCCACTTTGAGCCTCCCTCTCACGTGCACTTGTTCCTTTTTGACTAATTAAAAGGCTATTGTCTTTACTTGGGGGTATGCCACTTGAAGCCCGGAGGAATCATAGAGTTTTAGAGGCCTGTGGAGGAAAGAAGGATGTTTAAATGGATCGAGTAATGAGTTGTAGACTTCTAAATGCAGCAGATTAGTGCTTCTGAAATCTCTGTTCTCCCAATCATGCCGTGATACTAATAAACAAACAGTAGCAAATTTTCCTTTATTTACGTAGAGAAAAGAGATTTGCATAGTTCACAAACTTATGAGAGGTTTGTTCTCTCCACAATACACAAGATGATCCACTCCTTCCTCACTACAAAGCCTAATCTAATATTTACTATTAGTAACTACCTATACATAGATATCCAAGTAACTCCCTTGTAACTACTCATACATACTCATATATCCTAGTAACTCCCTTGTAACTACCCATAACTTACATACATATCCATATATCGTACTAACTCCCTTCTAATTGCCCATACATATCCATATATCCTACTAACTCCCTTGTAATTGCCCATACATATCCATATATCCTAGTAACACCCTTCTAACTCCTTTGTATTGTAACTCCCGTGTACCCTTTCTTTGATAAGTACAATGGTGGAGTGATTCGTCTATCAGATACCTTCTTTCTTTATTCAACATGCCTTGGCAATTTGTCATGAGGATGGAGGAAAAGAAAGAAGAAATAGATATCTTGCAACAAGGAGAAGGTAGAGAAAGTTCATCACCTGGTTGGATGGTAGAGAAATAGTTTATCACCTTATCGAGGGAAGTCTAAGAAGAGGTGGTGTAAACCATAGAAATAATGCTTCTTTTTAGTCCCTGATGTTTGTGTTTTTTTAATTTAGTCTCTGATTGTTTAAAAGGTTTCAATTTAGTCCCTCACGTTTTAACATTTTTCAACATTTTTCAATTAAATCTATCACCATTGATAAATGTTGAAACTGGTTGATGATAAACTTACGTGGCATGATATTTAGTGAATTTATGGAAATTTAGAGGAAGGTTATCTAAGAGATGAAAGTTTCTAACTCCTCTCTCAAATTTCTAAGAAATCAGTAGAAATTTTGAGTTTTCTTCTCCTGGTGACTTTTTTTCTTCTCTAAATTTCTCCCAATTTATTAAGTATTTTATTATGTAAGTTTATCGTCATTCAAGTCAATTTTAAAAACCACTCGGATACTAATTGAAAAATGTTAAAACATAGGAACTAAATTGAAACTTTTTAGACAATACACCCAAACATTATAGACTAAAACATACATTTAGCCATAAATGTATTAGAAATAAATATGGGCTTGATCAGGGAGAGACCAGAAACCATAAGTTCCTACAATGCCCAGAGTTCTTGGATTTACATTTCTTAATGCATTCAGGAAACAGTATTGTGCTTAAAATAGCCAGAGAAGACAGAATTAAGGGAAGATCATGGCTGGAAGCACAACCATTTCCTATTCTTTCCCAAGACTCAAAGGTTTGGTAGAGTCCAAATAATTCTTCACAAACCAGTGGGGGTTCCTTTGTCTCCTTTTGCCTAGCTCTAAGGTTAGCCAACTCCATAACCCACTGGAATTTAAATTTCAAAAGAAACCTCTTGGAAGCAGAGACTCACGAGTAGGCAACTCTTTATGGTGTGGGGTTGGAATGAGGTGGCTCATGTTTGGGGCATAAGTTTGGGAACCTTGGCTTCCTAAAATTATCCCATGGGGTTGAATAGGTTACCCACCATCTCTTTTTACTTTTATTTTTCCTTTTTTTTAAAAAAAATTTAGAAAATGAAATACAATATTGTAAAAGGGTGGAAATAGTAAAAAAAAAATGAAGAAAAAATTTAGAAAAACAAATAAAAAACCCGAACTCAATCTATACATTCTTGCACCCCAAACATAGTCTAATCAATCTCAGGCTACACATTTCTGCCCCGAAACACAAGCTTCCCAATTTCAGGCATCACAATAGTCCAAAATCTACCCCAAACTTGGCATCACAATACTCCAAATCTACCCCAAACTTAGCATTCCCAGGCTACCAATGCAGAACCTCTCCCCAAACTAAACCACCAACACCGGGGTAGTGGAGTTGAACCTTGGATACCTCAAGCCAATTCACTTGTAAATCTCTTTTCAATCAGCTACCACATTTCATCCCCCACCGCATTATAGATCAACCCTCTCTCAATTGCAAACTAAATGCCAAAAATTCGTAAGTCAAGTTCTCCCCTTGCACGTTGGTGCTCGGGCATATTTACACTAGGGACAGAATTAGGATAAAGTTCCCCAGCTTTGCTTTTTTCTTATAAGATACGTTCTGTTCTGTCTACAGATCTTTGGAAGACCAAGAGCACTTTTCTCTTCTTACCCTTTCGGTTAAACCTGATAATTTAGATTGTTGGATAGCCTCAGATTGCAAAGGTGTTTCCAAGGATCGCAAACAGGCTGTTTTCCGACTCCTTTGTAGCCAGACATAAGTTCAAAGATAAAAACTAAAATCTAAAAGGAAAAATGCCAGGAAAGTGATCTTCGGGAGGTGTGAGTGGTAAGAAATCAAACAGTTCTAGGGCAAGAATGCAGGAACCTCGATGGATATTGGGATACAGCTAGATTCCAAGTATCAAATTGGTGTGCTCTCTCAAACCATTTTTGCATACGGATCTTTTTTGTTTTAGACAACTGGAGTGCCTTCTTGGAGCAGAACCTCCTTGACTGGATGAGCTTCTTGTAACCTCCTTGACTGGACGGAATATGTCTCATTTCCATCGGTACATTTTTTTGATGAGATAAAGTTTCTTATAATAAAACATGCAAATAGATACGATATGCTGTATGTGCTAACGAGAGGGATGTGCCCTCCATAATGAGAAGTAAACTAACTCACCTTCAGAAGGCTGACTTAGCCTCCTGTTCTGGGGAGAAGTCATTTCTTTCTTCAATTGCATTAATATGTCCTCCATTGTATGCTCCCTCTGCCAATTAGCAAGCATGGGGAAAAGGCTCGGTTCAACCTAGCAATTCATACAAGCTGTCAGTTTATTTTCAATCACATTGCAGCAAGAATGCTTCACAAAATTATCACATACCACCCCAGTTTCTGGGTTGACACAGGTCATATTAATCCGAGTCTGAAATCTAACATTTGGAGGATTATCAGGGTACTCCTGTCCACAGACTAGCTTGAGTTGATAGATGCGTCCTTCATGAACAGTCTAAAAGGCAAGGCACCAATTAAATTCGCTATTTCCTTCACCCCTCCCCAACAACAACAATAATAAAGAATAAGAACACATCAACATTTGCCATTGAAATAACACTGCGATACTGAAGGCAGTCATTTTTATTAACACGAGAGAGGCAATCAGAAATACATATATTCTTTTATCATGGATTTTCGTGGTAAAGACAGAAAATTATTTATGTTTTACTATGCATTTAAAAAGGAAAAAAAATATCAAACTTGCACCATAGACCACTGACTTTATGGGAGTTTCTAGGATAGAATATACCAACTATGAGTTCAATGAGCAACACAGATATTAGAGAATGATGTAGCTTGGGAAAACTCAATTCAGATCATTATCAAAATTACAAGGACACTAATCAATTCCGACGGGATCTTGACTACTTCAACTCCTAAATTTCACTCCTTTAGCATGAAAGTACGGGGAATGTCAACCAACCGAATGCTGAGTTTAAATATGTTAAACATGCATGAAGCTTTGTTTCTTTCTTTCCAGTCCTTCTATAGTCTAATCGTATAAGCTTACATTATCTCACTGTCTGCTTATGCTCAAATGATGTTACCTTGTAGGCTGTAGCTTATCACTGACATTCTTTAGCACAAATAAAAATACACATAGTGGATTACCGAGAAAGAAAATATTGACAAAAAACCAACATTCTTCAACATCATCGACAATATTAATATTTAACATAAAAATTATATGAATATAATCCTTAATAATATTGATCAAAGTATCAATGTTTTCATACTATAAAAATAGTATCCGCTGATACTATGCCAGACACGGTTTAATGGAATCTGGCAAGTATTTGTGACAAAACTTGGTTAACTAAAATCTGAATTCAATTTTCTCTAAATTTCTGATGATGGCAAAATTATGATTAACATTTCTGTGAAATTCTACACTTGAGATGTGTAGATACTGATATTTAAACCATTGTCCATATCATTTTTTTCTTTTACAAAGGAAGGCCCAGATCTCATTAGAGAAACCAAAAGAAAAGGACAAAAATAATGGAAAGGAACTCACATTAGGTGGCCCAATAATAGTTCCTGTCCAAGAAGACATATAGATATCATCAGCAGCGTCCATTCCATAACTGACAGTTCCATCCCCAATTCCTTTCTCACCTCTCTCAAGTTCTTCCAGTAATCTGAAGCTTCGAGGAACTGCAAAAAAAATCATTATTAAAATTATACCTCATGTGCAACAAGTATAAACTTTTTTTAACAAAATGACAAATTTTCATTAAGATAGTGGTTACAAGTTGGTAACTAAGAGAATAAACTGTAAAATTCTTTAAGTTGCTTTAGTCTTGGAAAACGAAAAAGGATTTTGAAATTTGAGTATGGATATATTATTCTTCAATATAAAACCAACTAAGGGAACAAAGAGGACAACATTCATAAAAGGAAGACAAAGACAAACTAAAGAGGTCACAAGTCATAAAGATCTCATAGAAGAAGAGTTGAAGCCCTTGCCGATAGATTCTTACAACAATAAGAAACACAAGAGGTGCTTCTCGATATGCCTCGCATACCACCATCCTCAGAGTAACAAATAAAGAGCTTTCTTTTTGTGATACAGTTACTAGTCTATTAAATATTACAACATGAATGAAACATTATTACACCATTGTTTACTTTCCTGTCAGACCAGACCAAGCCACTCGGCAAAATCAATCTAATTTATTTATATCAAAGCATGCGCTCTCTTTCACAAACTTTTTCAATGAGACTCCACAAACTAATCTTCCTAAAATACAAGTGAGGAATCTGAATCAAAATGAGATTTAAAAAAATTGAAGGAATATCAAGACATTACTACAAAAAATACTTGACCTCAGGGAATTTCAGACATTGTAACTATGAAGTTGAATACTATCACTCTAAGAAGTTAAGTTCATAGCTAGCAGTTTGTTATCAAAAGTAAATAAAATTTCGACAACTCTCAGCTACTCCTCATTTATCTGACCTCCAACCCCAACAATCTGTCGATGGTTAATTGAGATTGCCAGTTCAGAAGACCTTACTAAAGCATTGAAGAAACAACACGAAAATAGTAACGGAAGTTAAAAAAATAAATTTTCTATCAAAATTCTGCGTATCTAATGTAACCCAGACAACATCGTATAAAGCCAAAGGTAATAACATCCGGAATTTAACCAACAGTTAGTACCAGCTCCAACCTGCAGACGCCAAACTGATTAGCTCAATTAGAATTTGAAAACGAGAACATTGTCCAATCCATATCACCAAACTACCTTTCAATTTGAAGTAAACAAGAAAGATCAAGCACAAAATTTGTCAAAGTTCCGAACGTAATTTCCAAACATTAACGTGAGAGTTTCCATGGATGCAAACGCACCCCATTGAGAAAACACGCCACTCCGTAGTCGTATGAGAAAAAAAATCATAAAAGTTGCTTCCACAACAGACCAAATTCCAACATCCAGACGAAGAACAAAACAAATATCGTTGACAGAAGCAGAATCGACAGTCAAAAAAAAACAAAAAAGAAGAAGAAGCGTAACAAGAAAAGAAATGTGGAATTGGCGAATTGGGAAGGCTGGGATTTGAAAGACTCACCAACTACCTTGGAGGGCTCGTCAGCCATTTTTGACGGTCGGAACCAGAGCTAGGGTTCCCAAAGTTGAAAGACCGAAGTGTAGAGAGAGAAAGCGTGCGACAGAAGATAGATGAGAGAGAGAGGGAGAGAAGGAGATGATGAGAAAATTAAAATAAAAAACTGAATAATTAAGCAGTCAACTGATGTTCACTACTCCAACAGGTTGGATTTGGAGGAAGAGGAGAGGCAACAAAAAAGAAAGAAGTGCAGAAATCGTGTGCTTCGCGGCCTATGCTACTCCCACTGCACCCGCACATCACAGCCGCTCCCTGCCTGACACGCTGCCTCAGATCTGAATCAGATCATGTTGCCCTTTTTGCACTCTTTTCATTCTCACTCTTTACAGTTTTATCTTTATAATTCGATTTTGTGCTCATTTTATTTTAATTTCTAAACTTGTTTATTCAGTTACTTTACTCTAATATATGAATTATATAAATTCTTTTCTTAATTTTCTATTTTTTAGATTATAATTTTATATAAATTATTTACTTAAACAATCTTTTCGTTAAATGATTAGTCTAAGACTAAAATAGTTTTAATGTAAAATTTAAATTAAAAAAATTTTTGAAAATTGAAAGTTTATGAATTAATGTAGAATATTTTAAGAAGATTCCAATTTTATTTAAAATATATATATATGTATATATATATATAATTTTTAATCATTATTTTTTATATTCCCAACAAATAATGCAATTGCTTAATTATACATTTTCCTAAGGAGGATTGCTTATAATAAATACTTGAATTAAAAAATTAATATACTACTAGAGAATAAATTAGAAGTTAAAGACTTAAGACTAGAGGGAAAAAGCAAAGAAAAACATGTTCGATGAAAAACAGAATAAGGATATCAGAAGAAAAAGCAGATTTGTCTAATGATCATAAACGACTAAAGACATAATGTCATAAATAAAACTAAATTGGCTAAAAGGAACTTGAAGTTCATATACCATTGGTTTGGATCAACTTGTGAGCCATGAGCATTCTATCTATTTTTCTGTTTCTGGCTTGTGATGCCGAAACCATTTGACGATGTCTTCGTCGTCGTCAGTAGATTCGACAAACTCGAATCGTCTTTCGATATTATCCGACCTCAAGATCAGATCATCTTCTTTCTCTGTTGCATCTTCTATGCTTCTTCTCCTCTCTGACATCTCCTGCTTCCATCTTTCTAGTGAGTCAGTTTTGCCTTGAGCAATTGGGAAATCCAGAAATCTAGAATCTCCCAAGCCAGCTTCTTCACCCTCATTTTCAGCAAATCTCCACAGGGAAGCAACATCTTTCCTCCTTGCATCTCGTCCACTGGCATTACCACCAGCTTCACCGAAGGAAGATCCAGGCTTACTGAAACTGTAATTTCCATTGTCGACCAAAGGTCGAGAAGGAACATTCTGACTATTTAGTGCTTTAGGCCGTCGATGATCACACTTCAAGCATAACGTATTCTTTCTAAAATTGATGTAGTTGCACCTATAATTTAAATTTGGATGGAAAATTATAAAACTTGGATAGCAGCTGTTTTAAGTGTAACATAGACAAAGAGAGGGAAGTGAAAGACTCACGATTCGCATTCCCACTCCCCCGGATTGAGCTGTCGATTCGAGGGCTTCTCTTTGCATTGCAAACACGTAGAATTCTTAGCAAAGTTCAAGAAATGGCATCTGCAAAAATGTTGTCTCCATAAGAAAATAGGAGCACAAAAAACAACACGACAAAAGCTTTAGGACATGTGCAGTCATTACTTGTCGCAAACCCAGTCGCCCTTCTTCAATGGAAGATCGACCTGATCCTCGTGTAGTTTCCAAAGTCTCTCGAGATCCATACTACCACAACGCAAGCACTTGATGTTTCTGGAAAAGTTTAGGAAGCTGCATCTGCCAGATGAAAAATGGAAGTCCATAATTAAGCTAGCACATTAGAGAAATATAAAGTTTCTATGTAACTTATGTCAAGTAGTTAGTAAGGCATACTTCGGACAGTTCCAATCGCCTCGTGTCGCTGAAGCAGCCATGACGTGGTTTTCCCGTGTATCCGACGAATATTCAGTTGAAGTAGCCTCATTGGACTTTAGAAGATCAGATTCAGGTTCAGCTGCACTGTAGTCAACAATTTCTTTCAACAGCTTTCTAACAGAGTCATTAGCATTCTTGTTCAGACAAGGTCTGTTCTCCACCATAGCAGAAATGTGATCAAGCCCGTAAAATAGCAAAACACGCATGACATCCACAGTCCGCCCTCCATCTCCACATGCCTTTGAAAATGCCCTCTCACATTCTCCCCGCAGGTTGCAAGGACTGCAGACCTACTAAGAAGCCTATTCATATTAAAGATGATGGAAGTCTGGTAATCATAAAAACTGTTTTGCTTGAAGAAAGATCTTCTTCATGTTCAATTATAAGGGAGAGAATTATAATGTAGTGTTTGAACTTTAATTATGGTGTTTAGTTAATCTTTAAACTTTAAAATGTTTCAATTACACGATTGAACGAAGAATTAGGCTTCTATTTTGCTCATGGTCATCAATTCTATAAACGGAATGCTTACATGGTATGCCCATTAGATTAATTTGGTTAAGTTAGCATGTGGCAGATAGCTCGATAGATTAATGAGCATGTTACGTCAACATACCGTAGGTGAGGACTAAATAGAAGTAAAATCAAAAGTTAGAGGGACATAACTCAAACTTTTTAAAGTTTAGGGACTAAGTAGACACAATACTCAAACAAGACTAAATTTATAATTTAACCCAAAATTTTTCAATCATATACGACGTAGTGGTAGTACTGCGAGGAAATTCAACACATACATTTCCCTCGTCAATGCTAACATGTGCTCTGAGACGCTTCCCTGAGTTCACAACTTTCCTATCTGTGCTTGGGCATCCACATCCTGCAATCATGTGTAACTCTTTCCTGGACAAGCACCTGAAAGAAAAGCAATATGCTGCACTCTCTCACACGGGTGAAAAACGGAAAAAATACAACTAAAAAATGAATAAATAGAAACTCATCTTCCTGGGTACTTAAACCCAACATACTGTAAGTATGGTGTTTTTCCACATCCTACAAAAGAGACATGATACCAAGAAAGAACCCACCCTAGAGAGTATTAATATTATAGCCAAAGCCAAGCAAGACAAGATTATGGGTCTACCTTCGTTATTAAAAAAACTGCAATAAAATGACAAAACAGCAAAGAAAATCACAAAAACATACAAAATATGGGTTTAGCCTTTAAATGTGGCGCTGCAGGCTTGTCAAATGAGATTATAAACAATTTGGATCACCCATATTTAGCAACTCCCCTCTGTTAAACTACGTTCTCTAAAACCATGCAGTTTCTAGGCAGATTAAGACCCAAGAAAAAAGGAAAATATAACTCAAATTTTTTGTTTGTAACACGATTCAGATAATAGCGTCGGTCTCTCAGGCAATTTATCAAACAGATTGAGTGCATTATCAAAAATCTCATAATTACCGTATAAGATTAGAACGATCCCTTGCAAAATCAAGGCACGCAGTTCTAATATGATTGAATTCTCTACCCAATTCACCATTCAGAAACGGTATTCCGTTTCCTTCAAAGTACCCTTTCTTCGACAAACATTCCATGAAGTCCACCCACTCCGGCCATGGGTCTATCTGAACCTTCAATTCCCTTGCCTTCGAGATTTCAGTGCGGTCAATCTGTTCTTCAGAAACCCGACATCTACGAGAAATGGGTTTCGAAGACCGATGTTCAAACTTATCAAAATCGAATTCCAACTCCGAATCTGAGGCTGGAGTTTTGTTGGAACCGTGAAAGAGGGAAATCGGAGTGAGAAACTTAGGACTTCTCAGTGCGGAATTGAGTAATTCATGAGCTGAACTATAGAAATTCGTCTTCCGGAAGATTTTATCCATTTCGAAATTGCAGAGAATCCTTTGACTTTTTGGCGGGAACTTCAAAGACTTAACCGTCAATCTGCAACGGTTTGCGGGCTCGCTCCGATTTAGAAGACGCGGAGAAGCTGCAAATTATTTTTGGTGCGAATTTGACATGACTGTTTGGTAACAGGAATACCTTATCCGTGCCCGGAATTACGAGTGTTTGGGTACTTGAAAAGCCCAACCAGAAAACGATTTTGTAAAAATACATACAAATTTTATCATGTATACCATTTTATTTTACATTTTAAGTAGTTTTCAGTGTTACCCTGTGCTAATTATTTTATTTCAAATTTAACCTTATACTATAATTTTTCATATATATTTTTTTCAGTATTTTGACCATGATATTTTTCAAAATATAAAACGGCTTGGCCTTTAAAGTGGCAATTAGATCTTAATATGAAAACTAGGAAGGTACATATAATAAACTATTTGATTTAGGGTGAGTTTGGAATAATTTTAAAAATATATATTTTTAACTTAAAGTTTAACCACTTTTAGAAAAACATTAAATAAAGGATTTTTCAGTGCTTTTTAAGTATTTTTAAATATAGGGCAAAGTTTGAAATATTACCTAAATAGCATAATCTAAATTAAATAATCATACATATGTATATCTAGGAAAAGTTCAACATTTTTTTTGGAAATACATATTATATATCTACGCTATAGTGTAAAATCTTTTAATTAAATTTTGAATAGTAGTGAAGATGATATATATATATATAGATTAAATTTTGAATAGTAGTGAAGATGATATATATAGAGAGAGAGGATGAGAATCAAATTTAAATAAAGGGAGGTCCACATTTTGTGGAAGGAAAAGATAAACAATGGAAGATGAAAGAATGAAAATGACATTTCCTACCCTCTCCTGAGGAAAAAAAATAAAGCAATCTCAATTGGAAATCAATCATTCATCAATATTCAATACAACTAGTAAACGATATCGACGAGAATAAAGAATAATGAATCTTATTTCTTCCAAATTTACACGATTCAAGTGGTATTCATGATTTTATTATGACCTAGTCATAAGTTACAAAACTAAATACTTCAAGAACCATCGTTCACTACAGAAAATATACATTTTTTAGTATAAAAATATAAATTATTAACTTTAAATAAGGAATAAATTTTCAAATATTTTTATTTGAAAAGATGTTCCGAAAAATAGAAAGTATTATATATATATATATATATATATATATATATTATAAAAAATATTATTATGCTATTAATGTGATTCGAATCAAGATCCCAAAAGTTGGATAGGATATACATACGTGCACCTAAACCAACCAGACTGAAGATCAATTTTAATTCACAATCTATATTATTTAATCTAGACTAAGAAACAAAAATGAGATTACGTTTCTCAAATTTTAGAAATGAGAAACGGGATGTATTTCCAAACAAGTTTGTTTCTCAAAAAATGAAAAATGCGAACAAAAACAGAAAATAGAAAAATTACCAAACGACCAAAATGATTATCAATCGATATCTGGAATTAGTCTTCACACACCCAAAAGAGTTTTACAACCCACCAAACTCTTCAATTCTTTTCATCTATCCAAGCCATGGGAGAGATGGATGAGGATGATAAATATAGTTGCCAACTTGACAACATTTTAAAAATAATTAATTAAAAAAATACAATAAGCAAGAGCCAAGGAAGCAAACACTTCCCAAATTCTAATTTTGACCATAAAAACCAAGCCAACAACCTTTAAAGGCTTCTTCTCCTCCAGATTATTAAACAAAAAGGGGAAAAAAATGACATATCAAACAACTTGGAAGCCATGGCCAAGGCTTGTTGAGCTCACCAATGGTTGTCCTTCATATTGCCCTATTAGGTATTAGGTAAGGGGAGAAATGTCTTTTATGACCCCACATGTCTCTGGCTTTTTCTGCCCATTTAGTAACGGTGAAGGGGCCAAAAGTTATGATCAATCAATATCATAAGCTAAGTAAAAAACACGTCCATATTTCCATTTATATTTTCATGTATTTATGAGTTCGACATCATCATCAAATATAAATTGATATTTTCATAATATTATAAAAAAAATCGATAAAATATAAAAAACATATATATATATCAATAAAATATTACTAATGTAGACTTAATATTAATAATAATCATTTTTTCCTTTTCAGAGATGGTGAAATGCTTATTTGTTAATTTAAATATTTTATACGCATTTTTATTTTTATAATCTTTTCAGAAATAATATATATTGACATCGATATTTAATCGTATTTCCATTTGACATTTCCATAAAATTGAGATCTTGACAATTTTATCGACATCGATATTTAAAACTTTGATAAAAGAAAGTTATTGTTCCCCAATTTTTTCCTCAATTATCGTCATTTTTTATATTTATATTCGATTAAAGATTATAATTGGTAAGAGTAAGAAACAAATATAAACACGTAATGACCATTGGAAGTCTTTTTTATTATACCTTCTCTCTTCTCTTTTTATGATTTCCAAAAAGGAAAGAAGGGAAAATAGAAGAAAAGTATGTTTAATCATGAACTCTCTCTTTCTTTTATTTGGTTTATGAGATTTCAAGATGAATACTTTAATATTCGAGGTTTTAAAAGCTATTCTGAATAATCCTTTAAGTTCATCTAATCATTAGTGTTTATCTAATGGAATGTTGGCATCATAATGAACATAGTTATTGGACTATAATGTGACGATTTGAATCGAATTCGACATCGGTAGCGTTGATGATGGTGGCAATGACAAAGTTCATCGAAAAATAGGAGGAGAAGGAGATGGGAGGGAGGAAAAATGGGTGTGGAAAAGATGACGCATCATCTTGTCACCTCACAGTTGAATACAGAAATATAAATAAAAATTACTTTACCTGGCCACACAATCATATCCAATTAGAAAGTAACGAACACACCACATTTTAATTAGTCAACTAACGATCAATTAAACTTAGAGATAATTTAGAATTATTTTACAGACCTCAAAGGATTAAAGTGTATATTTTGAAATCAACGAACCAATGCCTAATTCAAATCTCGTAGACTAAAATTTGCATTTTTTAAATGATAATTCCTAAAATATTAGTGAAATTTCACACACGAGAAAGAAAGTTTTCAAAATCTTCTTTGTAATTGAAATAATCTTTGATCAGAATATTATTCACGTAAAATCAACAATAGAATAGCTCTCTAATTAGGAATATAATATAAATAATTCAAAATCAACCTTAGGATAGTCCGGAAGAAGGTATTTGGAGCAAGGAGTTATTAAATCTGAAGTTCTTTAATCTGCAAAATAAATTTGGAAGAGTTAATTAGTTGTTTAGTCTTCCTTTTAACTTTGGGATAAGGAATTATTTATCATGGATTTGTATAGGTTAGAGTTTTTATTTGCTGATTTTTTCATTACAATTTGATTGTAGTGTAGGATTAGAGCTAGATTTTAAAACCTTTTCAAATTTTAATTAATAAAGACTTGATCCATCAAGATAATTGGTTAGTTTTCTTTTTTATAAATATTTCAAACTAAAATACAATCCTTTTATTTAATATTTTGAAAGAAAAAAAAATAGATAATTAATTCTTTTATATTTGAAAAGTAATTACACTTGAGAAAATATGTTACTTTGACTGTCTAATTTAAAAAGTAATAGTTATTTTAATTTAAATATTAATTATTTTATTAATTTTATTTTAGTGAGTTCGAAATAAAATACCATTTATAATTTTGTTACTATGAATACGATTAATTTAAAAATTAAATATATTCTTTTATTTTAATATTTGTTAGCTTGAAATTATATACATATATATAAATCCAAAATAAACTACTCCTTATTTTAAATTATATATATTTCTTATACATGTCATTATTTAAATTTAAATATGAATAAAAGAGAAACAATAATTTCAAAATAAAATAACCTCTTCACCCAAAAGTTAAAATTAAATTTAAGTATTTAATTAATTGGATTGAATCAAATGTTAGAAACTTAATTATCTAGGTTTTGTATTCTTAAATTTGTTTTATAACTAGACTACATGTACATAAAATTGAATTATAGTTCATATAAATATATATTTTTCAATAAAAGACAATTATAAATAGTCATAATTATAATGGGAAACAATTGTATAAATCTACCACTAAAAAAAATTATTTTATAATTTAGAAAACTTCAATATTTACAATTAGGGCACGGAGAGATGAAATCAACTAATTTGTCAGAAAATTGAATCAATTAAATAAAAAAAAATTGAGGAAGAGATGAGAGAGTAATATGGTAGTAAAAAAGTGACGAGTGAAAAGAGAAATGACAGAAAATATATGTAAGGCGGTGGGGGCCATTTGAAGAAAGAGAAGAAAGAGGGGGAAATAAAGTGTGGAGTTGAATTCGAGGTTTATAAACTCCTCTCTCCAAACCAAGATTAAATTTATCCACTCCACTCAACTTCTTGCCTTAAAGACCACTAAAAGATTCGAGATTCAAATTTCCTCACATCTTACGCGTCATTTTTTCAGGCCTCAACTTTAACTTATTGAATCAATTTAAAACTTGAAGTTGTAATATTATCCATTTTAGATCCTTTAACTTTTGTAATGTTAGGTTTGGATTATAAGTAACCAGACTAGAACCAGCTTGTGTGCACATAAGAGCCTAACCCTACAATATAATTATGGGTATATAAGTAAAAGAATAATATTTTCTTTGATATGAGGCTGGTGAAACCGAAAGTAAAATCAGGAGAGCCTATTATCATTGTGGAAATATAGAGAGGACTGTTGCCTCTAATAACTGGTATTAAAGTCGTGCCCCAAACTTAGCCATGTTGATGGAATCATTTGGTGTTTGAACAAATAAAATTTTGTGAGCCTCTAAGATATAGCCATGTGTGACAATTATTATGAGTGTGTTAAAACGTATTTAACACCARATTATCCTACCATGTAATGCATGATTGATCTCTATCATATACAAGGTGTGTTCAAAAWWTTTTTTTAAATAATAAACAAAGGAGATAACCTAGTAAAAGCAAGCTAGTGTGCTCTAGAGAAAAAAGATGTTAGCCTCAATAAGAGCAAGCTCTTAATGTGATCGAGAGTGATAGAATTAATGACTATTTGGACTATTTGAGGGGAGACATGGAGATGATCATAGGTATATAAATGAAGGACAACATCTYCAATAGAACGAAGTCTACTAATTGAAACCTTAGAGAAATTGTGGGTAGGTATGCAAACATCTCTTTATCAAATTTCTATGGATAACAATATATCTACTACATACTAAGAGCAAGCAAGTTTGCACTCCAGATAAAAGGAGTGAGCCTGGATAAGAGGAAGCTCTCGACATGACTGAAAGTGGTAGCTAGAATGAATGACTATTTGAGATGAAACTTAGTGATATTTTGTACAAGGGAAGGATTGTTGAAAGTACGACCAAAATCTCACATCGGCTAAAAAGGAGAAGATCATAAGTATATAAGTGAAGAAAAACATCGAATGAGGTAAAGAGCTGCAGTGCAAACGTCTCTTTTATCAAGTTTTTATGGACAAACAATACATCTTTTACACTAAGTAATAGGTTGGAACTTGGGACATTTCAATTCAACAAACCAACCTTGCAATCAAATAAGGTGAGCAATCACAAAGTTTGGATAACTTCAAATTTATAGCAAGGAAGCTCTTTTAAGGAATAGGAGTTTACTTTTAGGCAAGAAACAAGTGTGGTGAAGAAGTATTACTTGATTGAGAGCCTTACCCAATTTTCCCTATCAGTTGCAAGTGGATTAAGATGCTATCTAAATATCCATTTGTATTCTTTCAAAACTGATGACACATAACAAAAAGAAAAAAAACTATATCATTGGCTATAACAGATGTAATTCACAATTAGTCATGGAAAAAGCCCCAATCATGTACAAGTTGATCTTCTGCTATAGTTTTCCCTTCCCTTCCCCTTCCTTTTCTTTTCATTTTCTTTCCCTTTCTCTCCCTCTCCCTCTCTCTCTCTTCTCCTTCTCTCTCTTTCATTTTATTTTCTGCAGCATGTGCCAGACAAAGCTTTTGGATGTCAGCAATATGGCTTCCTTCTTTCTATGAGTTTGATGGCATCAGATCATAGAAAAGGAGAGATCAAACCCTTTACTTTCCACATGGCCCCCAGCATCATTTTCCATTTCCATATTTACAAGGGAAAAGGAAGAGAAAAAAACAAGACTGAGCTTTCTCTTACAGATCAGTTTCTAGAAGATCATCATTATCCTTTTGCTCTCCCATGGATGTTAGTCTTTTAACTAAGATATCTAAAGCTTCCTTCATCCACCAGTGTCTGCATACTTCTCTAGCTTCGGCTACAGTCATCTGAGAGTAAAAATCAAGTTCAACCCATATATTAGACACAATTGTATTGATGCAATACCATAACTAAGGTTTTCCAGATTTGAATTCTTGTGTTTATAATGAAATCGAAGATTTTCTTTAGGTTACGAGGACTTTAATTAATTGGAAAAAGTGAGTATGATTTTGGAAACGTACCCATATTCTCTGCCTAACATGTTTCTCTGGCCAGAGGTCAAGTTGCTCCTCAACCAATAATGGGAACATATAGCCTTCATAGTATGTGCCTTGGCTTTTGCTGATGAATCTCCAGTTTCCAAGTTGAGTCTGAGAAAACAGAGGCAAACCCATTTTAAAACTCAGCTTAAAGGAGTTATTGGGGACATTGATATTTGATTTGAAACTTTTCATGGCTTCAAAGAGAGTGTTGTTCCAAAACCAGAAATACAATGGAAAAAGAAAGACTTGCAATAGAACAGAAGACCCACCTCAACTTTGCCAAGAACCCCAGCTTCTTCAAGTGACTCTCTAGAAGCAGCTTGTTCCAAGGATTCATCAAGCTCCCAACCACCCTACAACAGGAAATGAAAAGGAAAAATCTCTTTAATGACGAGAACCAAATTGAAGAAAATAATTGAAATCATTGATATAAGTTGTTTCATTTCAGTACCTTGGGAAACATCAGGCCCTGACCCTTCTGAGAACTTATCACAAGCACCTCATATTCATCATCAATCTTCATCCCGTCCTCGCCAYAYTTGAATCTATAAGGTATACAACTGCAAGAACCCAACATTTCTCCACGTCAATCAAGAGAATTTCAGAAAAAACAAAAACAAACAGAACAAAAAATTGGATGTGAAAAGAGAAAGAAACAGCACCCACCCCACAACTTGGCGAAACCCCATATGATTATATCTCTGCAATTCCCTCCCAGTACGAGAAACCAAACAAGCCATCTTCTCAATTCTCGAAACACAACAAGAAATCAGAAACAGAATCTCCAAATCAAGCCAAGAAACCAGAGACCCGGATCGAATATTGGGCAATTTATGGAAGATTAAGATTAGAAAAAGGGGAAGGATGTGGTAGAATTGGATTGGAAAGGGTGGAGGGAAGGGGCGGGATATATATAGAAAAGGGGTGGTTGGTGTTGATGATGGGGATAACCGCGGGGACAAAAGTACGCGTAAAAAAGGGGGCGGATTGGAAGATAAAGGGGCACAGGTCTTTGTGAGCGTGCGATCAGCGTGGAGACAGCGTAAGCCCACAATGAAAGGAAGAGGGACACAGCGCCCACTTGAGGGGACGACTCGCATCGCCTTCTGGGCTCTAATTCACCTTCCGTGTCGTTTCCTTCAACAACTCATATGCGCCAGAGCCTTCAAAAATAACTTTATGACCGAAGAAATTTTAGTTGCGTTTTGATTGGTAATTAGAAAACGTAAATCTAAAATTAAGAAGAGTTTTATTTTTTATTTTTAGYGTTTTCAGAGRRGTGTTTGATAGCAAATTTGATAATTGAATGGTTCAACGTGTTTAATAATATATTTATAAACTATGAGTAGTTACAAACTAAATATTTATTAATTTATTTATTAACATTTTTTTTATAAATGGTGTATAATTATGTAATTTAGAATACATTTTTAATTTTAACAAATTTATAATATAAAGTAATATATTTATCAAAGTTTGTATCATTAATGTAATTATGCATCTTAAAATTTTCAAATTCTAAATYTGAAAATACTGAAAATATAAAAAAAATCGTTTTTCAGAATTTATACTATTTGGATCACAGTTTTCAAAAACAAATCTCTCAAATCTTGGAAACTTTATTCACTCAAGCCATTGGATTCAGTATATGTGAAAACAAAAGACAAAATCCGAATTTCCCACCAAATAGATCCTTATTAACTCAACCTAACTGATACGGTTTGAATTGAATTATAAATTTGTTTGAGTTGTGTTCATTCAAATAAATAAAAGTTGTATATATTTGTCGAAGGATTCACCTACAATCTGTTTGCGTTGAATTKAAATCGAAATTATTATTAATTTCGAAACTATTTCTCATATTTATTTTAATTTCATTTCATTCCATGATTTTTTATGGATTATTTATCTTATAAAGATTTTTAGAAATTACTTATAGTTTTTAGAATGGTTAAATCAGAACTAACTAAATCTAAATATTTTATGGTTGGATTAAGTTTAATATTGAATAAAAATTATTTAGTATGAATAAATTTAGACTTGGACAATTAGATTGGGTCAAAAAATACCTCAATCCAACCAATCACAGTCCCTGATTGGATGGAGAGGGAGTCTCCCATTTTGTTTTTATGGGAAACGTTGACTCCTTTGGGATTTATGGAGCTTGCAATTTTTGATTCCCAATAATTTCTCTCCCATGTTTGGGATTTGGAATATTAAATGCTTCCTCTTTTTATTTTATTTTGCATTTAATATTGTAATAAATGTAGGTAGGGGTGACCGACACGTACGTCGGTGTAAAAAAATGTTAAATATATTTAGTCATTTAATTTTTTTCAATTTAATTTCTATAATTTAAAAATTCTAAATTGAATCTTGTGTTTTAATATTTTTAAGTATATCGGTAAATGTTAAAGTTAATTGGTAATTGACATATATCTCAAATTAAGAGATTGTGAGTTCGATTCCCCATATCCACATATTGTGCTAAAAAAATTGGTAATAAATTGATGAATCAGARATTAAAATGGAAAATTTTAAAGAGTAAAGACTAAATTGAAAAGTGTCGAAACGGAACTAAAAATACTTRGGAGGAAAAAAAGGATAATTACAAATTGTACCTTTACAATTAAATGCATTAAAAAGGGTTTTTGTTTTTATAATTTGCAGTTCAGAACTATTTTTAGAATACAAAGGTCTCATTGGAAAACATGACAAGAACTAGATTAGCTTGATTCAATTTTACATCATGGTTGGTTAATATAGTYTATTTTGAAAAGCACTYATTCTTAAGAGTAATTAGAATGATTTTTACTTTACGTTCATAATTTTTTTTTTACTTTACCACAAATTGAAATATGGAGATTTGAACATCTGACTTGAAAAAAAAAGTAGGTATCAATTACTGTTAAACTATATTCATGTTATCTATTACTTACCATACCAAATTTGAGAATCAAAATAAAATCTAATATSTATGAGTAAAGTTTACGACTAASAAAGGGAAAGAAATTTTATTTTACCAAAGTTTTTATAGGTGTTAAAAGGGACTTTTTTTTTTAGGTAAAAATTAGTCAACACATAATAACAATTATGATGTCCCCATTAAACCCAAAGTCAAATAAAATAAACCTTGAGCAATTTTATGATTGCAAGTGTTTGGAACTTTGAAAATGACAATTATACTATTTTTTAAATATATATATCTTAAAATAACTTCTTCTTCTTTTTTTTTTTTTTGGTCCCAAGTCCGTGTAGCCTTTTTCTTTCTGTAACTTTCCATTTGTACTTTTCAGTCTTTCATTTATTTTAACGAAATCACACTATAATTTGGATACTGTGAACGTGGTTGATAACGGTAAAAATAGAATCGAATTTAGTAACTGTTTCTTGTTTTTATTATTTCTTTTTCTTTCTTAATTAAAAAAAGGAAATAAATATTTTTTAACAACAAAAATAATGATCCAACAGTGCTATTCCTCAAASATTAAAAACGAAAAACAATAAATTGAATATTACCGAACAGATCATTATACTCCGATTGTATTTCAATGGTATCTTTTATTTTAACATTTACTTTATGGTCCTATAATTTGAGACAAATATTTAGTTTTATACTTGATTATTATGTTAATTTTTTTTATTAATTATTTGACAAATAGATGATGTGACTTTGATTTTCAAGTATGTTAAGATTAATATACTAATGGGAGTATGTCAAGAAAGTACATATGCTAGTTGAGGTGTATATTGAGAGGGGCAAACTGCGAACATTGGAGTAATAATAACGGTAACGACCAAAATTTAATGTTTTTTCTTTTCTTTTAGTTGAGTGACCAAAATACACATCTTTTAAATTTAGAAACTAGAATAAAATAAATCTAAAATTTCTAAGGATCGTAATAGGGCTTAGGTTAAATGTAAAATTTAGTCACTAAACTTTCAAGATTGTATTTTATAGGTCCCTAAACTTAAAAGAATAGTTTTTGAAGTTTCAATTTAGTATCTCATAAGTCCGTGAAGTTTAAGAAATGTTCATAGGTCTTTGAATTTTAAATTTTGTGTTTAATGGGTCTTTATTATATTAGAAAGAAAATGTAAATTCACATACCTAATTAGAAGTAAAATTGAGAGGTGCGATTCGGCTTACACAAAATTCAATTTTGTATTTAATAGTTCCATGAATTTTATTAAGTATCAAATTTGACAAAGACCTATTAGAAACAAAATTCAAGAATCTAATAGACGCTTTTGAAACTTCGAAGACCTATTAAACAAAATTGAAACTTCGCCAACTTATTGCTAAACTTTCATATAATATTTCAGTTTTGCTTCCAGATCCAACGCAGACACAATGCAGTTGACTTAATTAAGACAATTCATGTAGATGTTCTATAAAATGCAATCTATAATTTTAACAATAAAGAAAATACTTTTATGGATAAGGTACCTATTAATATCTTAGGGTCGTTTGGTTCAAGGTTTCAAAAAAGATGTCTGGGATTAAGATGCTGGGATGAAGATACTTGGGAATAAGATGTCTGGGAAACAAAGAAAACAAAGATAACTGTGCTTGGTTGTATACATGTCCAGGATTAAGATGTCTGGAAATGAATTACATATATGTTTATTTTGTATGATTACTCTAGAAATATGCATTTTATGTCATTGTAAACATTGATTAATAACAAATCAAATTTAAATAAATAAATAAATTATATAAATTAAATTATTTTATATTAGCATTCTAAATTTTTAATTAACAATTTAGCTATATTGACAATTTAGCACAATAATCAATATTAATATTAAATGTTATTTAACTAAAATACAATATATACATATTTAGAGAAATGATATATTTGTATAAAGCTTTCACCCTTTAATAAATATGTTATAAATAATATATCTAAATTTATGTTGTGTTGATTTTATTTAACAATCAATCTTAATGACTATCATTTTATGTGTTTAACAAAATTGATCATTTTCATCTTATTAATTGCATCAATTAATTATATTTTTTATTTAAAAAATTAAGTATACACTTTAATTAATTCATTTATTACAATAGAATAATTAATTTGATACATTATTTGTAAAATTTTAATGTTGTTTTATTAATTATAAATTTAATTTAAATATTTTAACTAATTTTAATTAATTAATTTGAATAAATAATTACATTAAAAAATATTTAAATGAAGAGATATTTTGGCACAAAATTCATGGACAAATCCATGAATTGAGAGGAAAAGAAAGTCCTTGTCCATGGAAATAAGCTATTCCCAAGAAAAGATGATTTCAAATCTGTGTAACAAACAAGTGTTTTACTTTGTTCATGTCCATTCCCACCCAAAAAGCCCTCCAAAGAAATGGCCCCTTAAAAGTTGATGATTGAATTTCCGACTGAACTAACAGAAAGATAATGAAAAAAAATATTAAAAATATAAGTACTAAAATAAATAAATGTGACTTTTAAATAAAATAATAAAATAAATGTGAAAACTTAGGAATACAAATAAGATTTTAACCTCGTATGTTTATGAAAAAAAAAATCAAAGGAAATAAGCCGAATTAAGATGCATGCATCTCCAAAAGAAAGAATAATTAAGAATTAAGAAGAAAAAAGGAAGGAAAATTTGATGCGAGGCTTAAAAGTCTCAATAAATAGTCTTTCACACCTTATAAAAATCAGCTGTAAAAGAATAATGGGCATCCAAAAAACAATTGACACATTTTTTTTTATTTGGTAATTTTCAGTTATCTTCAAGAAGAACCACATCCATAGTTTTTCTAAACCACCATCATCACTTTATAATAATTCCCCTTTTGACATTGTTTCAAAATCAAACATTTATATTATAATTTAATTAATTCGAGTTCAATTTAGCTTTGAGATTGCTTTCAAACTCGTTTATTCTGTTTTCTTTTCACTTTTAATTTATTAAACTAGAAAAAAAAAAAAACA